GATCCGTCAGGCAGCAAGATGGAGCTCTGGGCAGATGGCATTCAGGGCAAAATGGACCTCGAAGTGATTGCAGCTCTGAAGAAGTTGGTTCTCTGAGCAGATGGTCCTCAGAGCAAGATGTAGCTCCATGCAGATGGCGCTCAGGGCAAAATGGAGCTCGAAGTGATTGGATGTTGCTCAGAGTAAAACAGAGCTCTGAGCAGATGTGACTCAGCAAGATGGAGCTCGAAGCATATGGAGCTCCAAGCAAGATGGACCACTTTGAAGATGATGTTAAAGGCATGATGGACCTCAAAGTGATTGGATCTCTTAGCAAGGTATAACACTTGGAGCAGTTAGAGCTTTCAACAAGTTGGAACTTGGAGCAGCTGGATCTCTAAGAAGATGGTGCTCTGAGCAAGATGGAGCTTGGAGCAGATGGAGCTTGGAGTTATTTGAGCTCCGTGAGTAAGGCGGAGCTCAGAGCAGATGGAGCTAAAAGCAAGATGGAAGTTGGAGCAGATGTTGCCTGGAGTATGATGGAGCTCGGAGCAGTTGGAGCTCTGAGCACATGGAGTTATAAGCAAGAAGGAGCTCGTAGCAGATGGAACTTTGAGCAAGATGAAGGTCTGAGCAAGATGGAACTCCGAGGAGATGGAGCTCTGAGCGAGATAGAGTTTGGAGCAGATGGAGTTCTGAGCATGATGGCACTTCGACCGAGATAGAACTCAGAGAGATGGAGCTCCAAGCAATATGGCGCTCTGGTCAAGGTTTAGTTTTGAGTAGATGATGCTCAGAGCAGATGGTGCTTGGAGCCATGTGGACCTTAGAGCAGAGGCAACTCTGAGCAGGATGGATCTCAGATCACATGGAGCTCCAAGCAAGGTGGAGCTCGGATTAGATGGAGCTATGAGCAAGATGGAGCTCAGAGCAGATAGAGCTCTGATCAAGATGAAGTCCTTGTGAAGGTTTAAGTTGGAACAGATGTAGCTCAGGGCAAAAGGTGTTTAGCGTAAGATAGAACTCGGAGTGATTGGAGCTCCGAGCAAGATGGAGTTGGGAGCAGATGGAGCTTGGAGCAAGATGGAGCTTGGAGCAAGATGGACCTCTGATCAGATGGAGACACATTATTTGTGGTATGTTTCATTCACTCATGGTGACTTTTTAAACAACTCATTATTTAGACATCATTTGGTGCCACGTCTGACCCACAGACTCTGGCTGAGCCAGGAATGAAAAAATATACACAGACACAGGTTTTTTCCCTGGGCCCATGACTAGGGTACCAGGTCATTCACTGACACTGAGGAGGATGCTGTGAAGAGTCACAGCAGCCACAGCCTTGACAAGCAAGTGTTGCAGGCATTTATTTAGTACAGATTTAATGACAAAGGCTTTGAGTCAACACAACTTGTGGGTGATTAACATAGTCACCCTCTCCAGAGAGAACAGTCCTGTGCCTAGATGATTAAAAGCCAGGTTCCGAGGCCTAAGCAAACTAACTTATCTAGATAAATTCCCTTTCACTTCTTTGTTATCTACCCTGAGAGAATTCAGCTGCCATCAGCCAAATCCTCTTCCAAAGCTTTTGCAAAACCTGGCCTTCCAAGAAGGTTTGCCTCTTTTTCCTATAATTTCTCCCACCACCCTGACCAATCTCCTACATCTCCCACTTTCCTGTTTTTCACATCAGGTTTTGTTGACTGAAGAATACAGATGTGTGCAGCAACAAGTTTGCCTGGTGCAGCAGTTATGACTTGTATTCCTGCTTTGCATCCTAGAGTTAGTAAATAACATAAGACAAACATGAGTATAATCAATAAAATTCTTTTCCAATCAAGGAGTGACCCTCAGGAGTGGGTATCTATCCAGGAGAGATATTCTTGCACATCTTGCCATGTGGCTGTTTGTTGGATGTGTACATATACAACGTTTAGGGATTCTAGAATTTTAGTTTTAAGTTGCCTTATGTCTTCTGATAAATTATTATATACGGTTCCCCACAGGTGTTGCTTCACTTCATCCCAACTATGTATTGATTGATACCAAGGTAGAGAGGTGACACAGATCTGCTTATGCTCCCAGTCGCAATATAATTGCTGTTGGAATGCCAGTGCATATTGCCACTTCCCTACATATTCTAAGGCAGCCCTGAGGGCTTGTGGGCATACCAGAATCTTTTGATCTATACCCTGCTGTAAGAGAAGCTTGTTAGACACATTTCTGGCCAAGTTATCTGCAAAGGTAGCTGTTTGTACTGGTTCAGTAATGGAGGCCACAGCAACACTAGCAGTTGCCAAGGTGACTATGGCTGAGACTATAAGGACTGTAAATGTGCCTATGAATCTTTTATGTCTGACCGGAGGCAGGGCACGTTCTAAGGTGGCAAGAACAGAGGAACGTTGCCAATCGCATGTCAAATTGACTGGTAGGAATGCTTCAGATTGTCTCCTTAATACCATGACTCTTGTAGTATTTAAATGAGCTATATTGTAATTAGTGATGCATGAGGCAAACGAAGCCTGTCACTGCACTTGGGTCACAAACATGGATTTTTGGGTCCTGAGGGTCCAGCCCCAGGCCCAGCTCCAAACTGGAGCAATGCCAGCGGCTTTCCTCAGTTGGATGCAAAGCCCACAGTCTCTCTCAGAGCAGCCAACAGTGAGAGCACAGGACTGGACTACTCTGCCCCATGAATTAGTGTTAAAAGAAGTACAAGACCCCCATAAAGTGTCTTCGGGTGGCATGGACTCTACTTGGGGTCTGGGATATCCTATCCCTCCATCGGCTCAAATTATAGGGAAAGAGGACGTGGCTATGAAACTGTGATTGATACCACGATGAATGCAGACATCAGTATGGTCGCTCTGAAAATGGCATTGGGGCTTCGGTCTAAGATACTATAATTGCCTAACTGGAGGCTATGAGCTTCTCCCCTGTGACAGACTTCCCAGCAAAAGTGGAATCCATTACTTTCCCTTCTACATTCTTTAGCACAGGAAGGAATGTTGGGAAAAGTGACATTGATTGCATTGCCTGGTTTAAGGCTACCTGCAACCAAGAATGTGAAGGCATTTCCTTTGCCATGATGCAGCCATCATAGTGTTTGGGCAGGTACACAGTAAGGGTTAGAACCATTATAACTTACACACAGTGGGAGGATAGTAGAGTGATATGTAGTTTTACCTGGCACCTTAGTCCAGTGTGTGTCATTAATGAGGGACCCCACTGGGGGTAAGTCAATCCCTTCTGGCCCAGCATTTATGTTATTAGAGGCTGGGAAGGGGGTGGTCTGCCCAGGAAGCAGGCCGGAAAAAAAGTGGATCTAAAAGATGAGCCCAATAGAGTGTAGCAGGTATGAGTTGCAAGCAAAGTGAGAGCATAAAAAGGATCAACACCCTATGTGAATTGCAATGTACAATAGAGAGCACAACAAGGAACAGATTATCTGGAGTGAATGGTGTTTGTGTCCAAAGCAGGATTCGCTCCGCCTCCTGAATTGTCTTCTTCAGCATCCCCCAGGTAATGTCCAGGGCTTGTGTCATCCAAAGGAGCCGCATCGTCTGGAGCTGCATGTCCTGCAGGGTCATTTTCTTCATTTCTGGTACCGGGATGGGTCCTAGCCATGCCATGGTATGGTTTGATGTGTCCTGCTGGAATCCAAAGAGGACTTGAGGGGATGTGAACAGAAGCATATCCTCTTCGCCATGTTAGCAAATCACTTGGACCACACCATATATTGCTGTTTACATCTTCCCATAAAACTGTGGGTTTTATTCTTGAGAGGTTTTAGCAAAGTGCTTTTCTATAGCTGATTGAAATTTATCGTTTAAGTTTTTAAAAATTAATGGTAAATAAGGCCTGTGCCAATACTGTTGCAGGTTCCTTACATTTTTTTGTGTGTTTGTTTGTTTGTTTGTTTTCTGAGCATATTTTTAAGGATGCAATGGACAGGTTTTACTATGGCCTGTCCTTGGGGGTTATACAGGATGTCTATGGAATGTTGAATGTTCCACGTGTGACAAAATTGTTGAAGTTCTGAGCTGGCATAAGCCGGACCATTGTCAGTTTTAATTTTTGTGGGTTGCCCCATAAACGCAAAGTTAAAAGATGATGTTTAATGACATATCGGGTGGACTCTCCAGGTAAAGCATGTTCGCTGATTAGGTGAGAACTGGTATCAATGGATACATGTACATATCTTAGTTTTCCAAATTCAGGGACATGTGTAACATCTGTTTGCCATAACTGATTAGTTTCTAGTCCTCTAGGGTTAACACCTGTTGAAGAAGAGGATGTGCCTGTGAGCTGGCAATCTGGGCATTGCAGGATAATATTTAGTCTTTGGGTAAGTTGAAATAGTTTAGTTAAGTTCCTCCAATTTTGGTGGAAAAATTGATGTGATTGGGTGGCTTGGTCAAGCAGTGACATCATAGCTTGAAGGTCTGCTTGATCATTGACATGAACTGGTGGGCCAGGGAGTGAGCTGTGGGCTTGAGTATGTGTGATAAAAATAGGATGTGTACTTTGATCTAGCAATTGCTGAAGTCACAGAAAAAGTGCACACAGGGTGGGGTCAAGAGTAGAACTAATGAGGGCTGTCTCAAGGTTCTGCAATAAATAGAGTAAGCAGAATCACTAACAATGTTGATAGACTGAGTGGAAAAGGTCACCTGGGCCAATATTAAGGCTCCAACCTCAGCTCTCTGAGTGCTAGTAAATCCAGAACAAGTAAGGAAATTAGCCCCTTTTCCATTTTTACCAGAGCCATCAATAAAAAGCATGAAAGCATTTGGTATGGGAGAGTGAACTAGTTTTGTTGGCACAACTACAGAGATATGAGATAAGAACTGAATTAGTTTGTCAGCAGGAAGGGCATGCTCTGTATGGCCTGCATAATCAGAGTGTTATCTGAAGACCTAGAGATACGGGCACTACTGCTTCAAATTGCTTTTTACTTAAAGCAATTTTGATGACATCAGGGTCATAACCTAGCAACTGTTTGCATCATCTGTGGCCTGAATAGATGACTTTATTAACTAAGTGGATATAGGGATATAGAGTATTAGTCCCAGTATGTGAATCTAAAGCCCATTCTAGGAAGTGTAGCACTGGGGCCATCTGTCCTATTAATTCTGTTGGGGAATGTTTAGTAGGAAAAAAAAAAAAAGCAATTGAACTGAATATTTTGAGTCTATGCAATCTAGTTGTCTCTGAGAAGTAGCTTGCTCTATTTCCTCCATTTCCCTTTTTGCTGCAGGAGTTAAATACCTGGGAGAGTCTAGGGCTGTATTGCCCTTTAGGTTAGAAAACAGTCTTTGCAGCTTATCAGAAGTTATGCACAAGGTGGAGCAAAGCCAATTAATATTGCCCAGTAATTTTTGATAATCATTTAAAGTATGACAGTTGCTAGTATTTAATTTAAACTTTTGAGGTCTTACTGACCAGGAAGTTAGTATGTATCCAAGACATTTCAAAGGAGAGGACATTTGTACGTTTTCAGGTGCCAGGATTAAACCTCTTACCTGTGTATTCTTTAAGACAGAGGCATACAAACCTAAAAGTTCTGGCTCCATTGGATCTGCCAGTAAAATACCATCCATAAAATGAATAATCTTGTAATTAGGAAATTATTTTCTACTGGAGAGCAAAACCTGATTTACATGATACTGACACATGGTGGGACTGTTTAGCATTAACGGAGCAGTCTCCAATGCAGTCAGTGAGCTGCCCTTTCATTATTGATGGCTGTTATGGTAAACGCAAATTTTTCTCTGTCCTGTTCTGCAAGGGGAATAATATAAAAGCAGTCTTTTAAGTCAATAATGAGTATAGGCCAATTTTGAGGAATCGCTCTGCGGGAAGGGAGGCCCTGTTGAAGGGGCCCAATGGGTTGCAAATTAGCATTGATAGCCTATAAGTTATGTAAAAGTCTCCACTTGGCCAGATTTTGGGGAATGATGAAAATGGGTGAATTCCAAGGACTTTTTAATGGTTCTATATGGCTGGCTTTTAATTGCTCCTCAACTAATTCATGGGCTTATTGTAATTTCTCTCCCTTTAAAGGCTACTGTTCTAACCAAATAGGATTTTGAGAGAGCCACGTTAGGGTTACGGGAGGGATAATAACAGTGGGCATTATTAGAAAGGGGTCTGCAGAGTGACCCCCACTATTGGGCTAATACGTCCCATCCCCAAAGATTAACAGGGATGAGTATGATTAGATGTTGTATAACTGATTTTCTTCCCTCTGAATCACATGTTAGGGGGCGCATGCTCTGCTTGGCTGTGTGTGCTTCCCTGATGCCCACAATTGTTTGTTTCTGACCAAGTTTCTGGCCAGTTTTGATCACTAGTGATGGAAATGTCTGCCCCTGTGTTCAATAAGCCAGTAAAATTTTTATTTTGAATTTTTAAGGTAATCATGGGTCTCTGATCAGGAATTAATTGGTTTCAATATACTCCTGTGGCTCCTGTGCTTCAAAAACTTCCCTTTCCCCTTTCGTTTCCCTGGGTATTGGGAACCCAGTATGGTTAAAGTAGTAACTGAGCTATCTTTGATCCAGGGGGAAGAATATACAGACCTTTACATTCCATCATAACTAATATCTCACTGTCAACTACCCTGGTGAGCACACTGATTCCTTTACTGGATAGGCTTGATCCCGGATTCCTGCTGTTCCCAGAGACAGTGGGCCCCCGATTCCAGTTGCAACCCTTTTAGGGTCTTGTACTTCTTTTAACACTAATTCATTGGGGCAGAGTAGTCCAGTCCTGCACTCTCACTGTTGGCTGCTCTGAGAGAGACTGTGGGCTTTGCATCCAACTGAGGAAAGCTGCTGGCATTGCTCCAGTTTGGAGCTGGGCCTGGGGGCTGGACCCTCAGGAAGTTTCCCACCTGATTACTTAGGGGGTTGCCATTTTTATCAAATTTGGACCTGCATTGATTTGCCCAATGTTTCCCCTTTTTACATCGGGGGCATATAGAAGGTGGTTCTTCTCCTGAGTTGCCTTGATCTCTACTATTGGGGCATTCCCTCTTCATATGACCTGACTCTCCGCATAGAAAACAATTTGGGCTTTTCTCCCTTTTCATTTTAGGAGGTCTTAATGTCATAGCCAGTATTTTGGCTTTGTGTGTTTCAGTCCCAACCAGTTGACATGCTTGTGTAAGTTCTCCAACTGTGGCTGCCTTTCCTCAGCCTGCATTGCTTGCTGGCAGTTGACATTAGCATTTTCATAAGCTAATTGCAACAATAAGGTATCAGCGGCCTGGGCATGACTAATTTGTCTCTTAATTGCCTGGGTTAACCAATTGATAAATTCAACAACTTGCTCCTGAGGCCATTGTTGAACATTTATAAAAGATCCCTGTTGAACTCCACTTTTGGGAATTCAGTCCCAAGCCCTGAGAGCATGCAAAGACACTTGTGCATAGGCTTGGGGAACAAAATTTAGTTCTTGTTGTACATGAACATGGGGACCCCGGACATGGGGACCCCTACCCTAGAGCATAGCAGCTGTCATGTCTTGCCCAGTCACTTGATTCTGGTTGACTTGTTCACACAACTCATCATATTCTGCCTTCCAGCAGAGGTATTGGCTGAGCTCCAAAGTTGTTTTAGCTAGCACTGACCAGTCCCATGGGGTCATGCAGAAGTTGTCTGCTATGGCTTCAATTGTTCCTTTCATAAATGAGCTAGTGGCTCCATTTCTTTTAATGCTTTTTCATATCTCTTTATAAGAGTCAAAAGAGATGAGTTCATATACCTGATTGCCTTGTTGGTCTTGCATTACTGGGCAGGCTAAGAGCTCCTCTTCTAATGCTGCTTTCCTAAGACAGGGTCCCATAGCTGTAGCGTATCCCTTGTCTTTTTTCCAATTTATTGGAGGAGGGGGATCAGGCAGAATCTCCATTTCCTCTTTGTTATTTTTGCTTGCTAATGGCTGGACTGAGGGAGAAGGAGAAGGCGGTAAGGTAGGTGATAGCTCCTCTTCCCTTCCCTTTTTTGGGCTCTTCCTTGTAGAGCAGGACCAAAGCAGCCCAGACTAAGGGCCATAACGTTAGAGATGTTATTGAGAACCATTGCCCTTGTGCATGATGTTAAGATTTCTCCCCACTTGTTCCCAGAGCTCTACATCTAGCCTGCCTTATTCCTAGAGCTCTACGTCTAGCATGCCTATTTCCCATGGGTTATGGGAAACAACAGTTTGCATGGGGCCCTTAATTGAGCCTGTGAAACCAAGTTTCCACGAACTTTAAGCAGCTGTTTCAATACTTTTATAAACCGTTGCTGCTGAGCTGATAACTGCTGTCCTGTGATGAAACCGTAGCCTGAACAATTCCCTCAAACTTGGAAATCCCAAGCAGGCATCAATGATTTACTTACTGAGAGCACAGTCTGTTCACCTTCGTTTTTAAGGGTTCCATCATGATTTGTTGCAGCGTTCCTCACACGGGGTACCACCTGCTGGGTCTGACTTGCAGACCCTGGCCCAGTGATGGAAGAAAAATGTACACACACACGGATTTTTTGTCTAGGCCTGAAGCTAAAGGACCGGGCTGCTCACAGACAAAGAGGATATCGTAAAGAATCATAGCAGCTACAGCCCCAACAAGCCTGTGCTGCAGGCATTTATTTAGTCCAGATTTAATGATAAAGGCTTTGAGTCACCACAACTTGTGGGTAATTAACATGGTCCACCCCCCCTTCCAAGAGAACAGTCCTGCATGCAGATGATTCAAGGCCAGGTTCTGAGGCCTAAGCAAATTTATCTAGATCAATTCCCTTACACTTCCGTATTGTCTACCCTGACAGAATTTAGCTACCTTCAGCAAAATCCTCTTTCGTAGCTTTTGCAAAACCTCCCAGCCTTCCAATAAGGTTTGTATCTTTTTCCTGTAATTTCTTCCATCACCCTGACTGATCTCCTACAATTTGGGAAAAAAATAAACAGTCAGCATTTGTCTTTTGCAATCTTCACAGAAGGAAATTCTAGCAGATTTTACTACAGACTTCTAGTGAAGGAGCAGACCAGATCTTTATTGGCAACGTGTATTATGATCCCAGTCCTAGAATGGAAAGTTTAATGACAGTTTAGGTCTCAACAAAATACATAATCCAAGAGAAGACTTAAGGATTCGTACCTCAAGCTCATTGTCTTCAAATATCAGAATGGAGAACTACTTCTTAAAGGTTATAGTATCTCCTTTCCTTTGGTTTTCAGATTTCTAATATAATTCTTTTATTTTTCTTTTAACAGATCAGGGCATGTCCAGGAGCACATTAGAGATCTTATAAACCAGGCCTCTCACCTTTGGGAAAGGGATGCTAAGGGTTGACTCTGCTGGGGTGTCACCTGGTCTTCATTCTCAGCTCTTCCCTTTCTTGGGACCCCTGGCCTCTATTTTCCTCTCATTTTTAGGCCTTGCTTTCTGAACCTTTTCAGTTTACTTCCTCTCACCTAGGAACCATCAGACTTCAAATGATCTTGTGATGGGGAAATCAACCTCTTTCTTTTCCTCCAGGACAACCAAGTCCCTACATGTCTCCTCTGGACACCATGGGTTAAATCTTCCAAGAGACAGCAACAGTCGTCAAATCCTCCTCACCATGACAGGAAGCAAGGAGGAAGGACCCTGAAGACCCTCGATGTCCCTTCTCAGCAGCAAGCAGCTTCAGAGAATGACCTCTGTCCCATCTCCCAAAAGATTTCTGAGCCCCAACTCCTTGAGTGAGAAATGTAAGAGTAGACAGTCAATGAGCAGGCATGGAGGGGGGTATCCATGTTGGAAAGAATGCCCAGGAACACCTTTTAGGATGCCCAGCACTCACTCCATGGTCGAATTGTCAGAATATTGTTAACTAGATCATGATAAGGAAGGAAAAAGGCAAAAGAGGAATTCCTGAGAGCTGAGCAGGCACAATTAGTACAAAATTCATGGCTATACCTTCTGGGGTGGCAGTAATAAGCAGTGCCACCATTAGATAGGATTCACATTGATCACTGGTTCCAGTGCATGTGCATTAAACACAATAAGGGAGGATCCCCCAAACTTTGGTGAGAACTGGGTGAAAAAAGAACCGAGACAATAGAAGATCACAATGCAGAATGTCTTGGGGGTGTTTCTAGCAGGGTCAGCCCACTCCTCTCTTGGAGTGTTCTTATATTTCTCCAATTAAACTTTTGCTTGCTTTACGAGTTCGTCTTTTGGGTAAATTATTTCTTCCAAGAAGACAACCAAAGATCGCCCAGATTTCATGCATAGTAAGAGTCTATTTCTGGGGATCATAAAGTGAATACAATAATGACAAGGTGTATCAATTATAGAGTTGGTAAGGGAAAAAAATAGTTCAACTATGCTTGACTTACTAAGAAATTTGTCTAAAGTTTGACTATTTTTCAACTAGGGAAAAATCACAAAAGCCAGGTGCAGTGGTGCACAACTGTAGTCCCAGCTACTCCAGAGGTTGAGACAGGAAAATCACCTGAGCCCAGGAATTCAAGGCTGTAGTGTGAAATGATGGTGCCAGTGAATAGCCACGGCACCCTCTCACTGCAGCCTGAGCAATGTAGCATGACCCTGTCTCTTGAAAAGATTGCAATAATTATAAAACATTTGTTTCAACAAAAATAAATTGTAAGTTTTTTGTGTCTCATTATAAAAATTTAATCAATGCACTTTAACTTATAGTTTTGATGGTGTTTTTATGATCTCCTTAATGCCCAGAAAATATAGGTCCATTTTAAACGAGACCCCAACCTTTTTTTTTTTTTTTTGCCTGGGTTCATGTCCTAGCACATCATAGAAAAGCAAATCTCATGTTAAGAAATTATTTCAGTAGATATAGCTCAAAAAATAACAATTTAAATGGTTGTTCTAATACATAAATTACAAGCTGCTAGCTAGTAAAAAAAGAAAAATAATATTTCTTTGTGTTATTTCTCTGCAAAAATGAGATGATGAGAGTCTCAGTGGTTTACAGTCATGAAGTGTTGCCACAGGGTGAAAAAAGAAAATGAATAATGCTTCTGTAAACTGTTAAGCATGATGAAAATGTAAATGTTATCAGTTTTTACCAGCAAAATCTGGTAATATGTCATTTTACAAGATGACAATGAAAGAGTATACAAATGAAGATGTAGTGCCAGAGAAGATTTTTGAGGTAAGTGGTGTTTACTTTTAGTATTTCTGGATAACTTGAAAAATTGTTTAACAATGTAGTAGTTCCAAGGTAGACTTGGTTTCCTTGTGAGATACTGCTTTGCCAAGTCATGTTAGACTTAATAAAAGATTTAAAGTCGTTCTGTGGAGATACAAAGGTGTGATTCCATAATCACCACAGGATGCTTTGAAAGAATCCTCATATAGTTGCTGTCTACTAAATTTTTAAGTTACAGAAAGAAGATAATTTGTAGAGTTGCTGGTAAATGTAAGTTGATTTTAAACAGTAATGAACTTTCTGTATGCCTCTTTTATGTTGGATTTTAATATGATGTCATTTTCAAACAGTTAAAACCCATTTTTTCATTCTGCGATGAGCTAAAGGAAGGCATAACAAGCAGTCAGTGAAGATGCCCAGAAAGTAATGTATGAATATTATATTGATCCAGTACTGTTAGACTGCTTCTTGCAAATGGCATTTGTCATGGCCACAAGATCCAGAAAGATAGAAGAAAAAACTGTTTTTCCACCAAAGATTGGCAAAAATCTGGAGAGGGAAGTGGATATATACATAAAGGTCATCAACAGAAAACCACTTTGAAGTTTAAAGTGTGTGGGTTCTTTACAGACAAATATGGTTCCACACTATGAAGACTAGAACAGACTGTGTTCATGTATAGTAAACAAACACAATCTAATGATAACTTGCTTCTAGAAAACGTGGAAACAAATGTCACTTCAGGTCCTTCAAAACCCTGGTGAAATGCCTCCATGAATGGTTCTAGGCAGCATATTTGAAATAGCTAAATATTTGCCTTATGACTCAAAGTATATTGGGTTTCAGAAAAACAAGTCACCATTCTAGGATGAGAGTAGGTGATACAGTGAAGACTGAAATCAAGGACTTTTATCATGTTTTCTTCTTGTGGAGAAATCGGGAGCACTTAACACCTAACAAAGTTCCATGAGGCATTTTTCTACTTATTTTGGCCCTGAAGACCGAAATGATTATTCTGTGACAGCGCTCAAGTACCGAACAATAAGATATGTGAAATACGTTAGTCCAGGGTTTGCTGTCTCTGGCGTGACTAGAGCCTTTTTGATGAAAGTGCCTTGCCTCACATTTCAGATGTTAGATATAAGTGATACAACCCCACAGAACATAAGTTTAGCAGAAGATACTATTAAATATAAAGAGAATTACCCAGAATTCTATATTGATTGTCAGGGGACAATACTCATTTCAGTAATCAGGCATACTTCCTTTGAAAAAGTTTATGATATCAAACCTCAAAATGGCAACCAGAACTCTATGGTGTTCACTCTTCACACTTCAGAGCCCTACAGTGTAGTAAAGGTGACAGCCAAGATAGAACAACACAAACACACTGTTTTATGACCATTCTTTGGAAGTTGAGACTGAAAATGTGCATTTACTCAGATTATATTCCTTTTAGCACCTCCAGGTGTAATTTTGATGGTACTTTGCATTGGGCTGATGACACCATAGGGAAACATAAACTACTGACACTGAACTTCAGCAGTACAGTAGCAGGCATGTGCAAGGCCATTGAAAAAGTAAATACTGGTGATTACATTGCCACATGTTTTTCTGCATGGCTTCATCTTAACTATGGACATGTGCTTTGACAGCAAGATATTTCTACTATTTAGAAATGGACCTTATGCATCATATACTTCATAAGAGCTTGGAAAGGTCTCACCCAGGTATTACCAAATGCCAAATATGTCTCTATGTATGCCATGTTAACCAGCAGCCAGAATTTGTTGTGGGTGAGATGCTGATCTTGGCTGGTAAGGAACTGATGTGGGGATGCCAGCTGTCTCTCGCTGTCTGGGAGTCTATTGCAAAAAGAAGAACAGTGAAAGACACTAAGTTTACTGCCACCTTTAGAGAAACTTGTCAAAGAAACACTCTTTAATTATCCCCATCTTAGTATTGTAGTCATATGTGGCCAACACCAACCTGGGTTTTTACAGCAATTATTGCATAATGATCACAATCCCATTCAAGGTCACATTCTAAATCTTAGATTCTACAAAAACCCTGTCTGATAATGTCCTAGAGACCTTTCAGTAGCTAAAAATCAATGAGTTTGAAAAGTAATTTGAATTTGTCGTGCTCACTTTTTCAGCAGAGTCTTCCTCTGTCATTGTATTTTATATGTGTGGCTGTCCCTTGTGCTGTGTTGGAAGTCAATGGTCCAGAATGTCAAGATCTACAATTACCTATGTACAAAGAGAAAACTCTTCAAGTCAAAAGAGCGTGTATTGTTTCAGGGGGGCTCTCTAGCCTTGGATTTGAAACTATCATATTTATTACACAAAAGAAGAATGGTCTTTTTCATATTTTATTATTAATTTTTGTGGGTACATAGTATTTATGGAGTCATGAGATGTTTTGCTACAAGCATGCAATGTGAAAAAAAGCACATCATAGAGAATGGGATCCCCTCAATCATTCTCTGAGTTACAAACATCCAATTACACTACGTTATTTCAAATATATGATTAAGTTATTATTGACTATAGTCACTCGGGTTTTCTATCAAATACTAGGTTTTATTATTTATTATTTCTATTTTTCTTTTGTATCTATTAACAATTGCCCCCTCCCGCTCACTCTCTCACTACCCTTTCCAGCCTCTGTCACCATCTTCTGCTATGTCCATAAGTATTTTGGTTTTTAGAACCCAGAAATAAGTGAGAACATGTGATGTTTGTCTTTCTGTGCCTGCTTATTTTATTTTAACATAATAATCTTCACTTCCACCTTATGTTGCCGGTGACAGGCTCTCATTTTTTATGTCTGAATAGTACTCCACTCTGTATATGTACCACATTTTCTTCATCTGTTAATGGATACGTAGGCTGCTTCCAAATATTAGTAATTGTAAACAGTGCTGCAGCAAACCTAGGAGTGCAGAAATCTCTTTGATATACTGATTTCCTTTCTTTTGGGTATACACCAAGCAAGCTGTTGGAAAATCATAATGAAGAGTGCAAAATGACTAAGCTACAGTGTATTGTCATTATTCACCCTGACGTGAAAAAGACCATGAATTTAATAGAAAATAACTTTGCAGATTAAAATCTTAGGTGTGTTATTTTTTAGTGCCATAGTCTTGGATGATGGGTTCCTAGAGGCTCTCAACATCTTTTCTTAATTGGAGAAAGTGTTAAGTCCCCAAATATCTGGGGCAGTACATATTCAACTTTTGACAAGAGAGCAGGAACTTGATTACTTTGAGTGCTATTCGTTAGTTTCTGCTTTCATTGAGAATGCAACACAAGCCAGCTAGGCTGCTGCTAATTCCTTGCTGGTCATCTTCTGCTACTGTCACAGGAACTGTGATCTCACTGGATAATCTATTAACTGAAGAGTCTTTAATCTTGAATGACTGCTGCACAAATTATCTTCAAAACATTTTAGCTACCAGAGGAATACTCTTCAAATACCCCAAATCCACCAGTATCTTGAATCATGCTTGATTCTGAGTAAGTCTCAACAAGTCATGTAAAGGGGACTCACTGGCCTTGAAATAGTGATGTTTTTATGCAGAAAGGAGATTGTTCTATTGTGATTATTTTATTGAAAATCCAACTTCTGAGCCATTAAAAATGCAAGTTGCTAGAAAATCAGAATAAAGAATGCAGAATGATCAGACTACAATGTACTGTCAAATTTGATTTCAAGAAATTATAGGAAAACTTTCTAAAGTTCCATCTCACAAAATTTATTTTTACAAAGAATTCAAAGATAAATTTAGTTGTATGGAAGATTTTTACGAGGTTTTTTTTTTTTTTTTTTACTCATTCTTCATCTCAGATATCAACAGAAGAGTCCATCACTTATTTAGCTAGTAAATTTATTAACATAAAATTCAGAGACATTCCAATACCACATTGCTTACGCCATTAGACATAGATTCAGTGTCAGTTACGACAATTGGAAATAAGCTCTTTTTCAATCAAAAGGTTTAAATTCCTCCAACCGAACTGTTTGATCCAGA